CTATCTATCTATCTATCTATCTATCTATCTATCTATCTATCTATCTATCTATCTATCTATCTATCTATCTATCTATCTATCTATCTACACAAACATAATTTTGTAACAGCCAATCTCACTCAGATTAATTATTTTATGTGTGACAATCTCCAGAGACAGCAGAATCAAAGGACAAAGAATTGAAAAAAGTTGCAATACATAAAGAGTGAACAATCCAAATGGAGAGATTATAGAAAGGATCTTGAAAAATCATCTTTGTAGTCATTAGTCAGAAATATGAATATCAACTTTGGAGTTAAAAAAATGTGAACATAATGCAAAAAGAGCAATCTTGTTGGCCACATTACATCCTAGGACATTACTAGAATTTCTAAATACCAGTAATGTGTGATATATTTTTGTTTGTTTTTTATACTGTGTTGTTCCTTGATGAATAAAAGCATAAAAACAATGTAACAACAACAATAGGACCAAGTGTCTGAAAAAGTTGCAAAAACAGGATCAAACTTTTGTAGGATTTCAAAATTCAAACTGATAGGTACTTAGGGTATAAAATACACCAGTCATTACCATTATAGAAAAGAAGATGAAATGGTTTATTGTTTTGGCAATATCTGGAGACAACTGAATTGATGGAAAACAATTGGAAAAAATAACAAGATATGATTCAGAGATTGGAGTTGGAAGATAATAGAGGGGGAAATAACTGTCATATCAATTGTGAGTGGACCACTTGATATGATATGGCTTTTATTCATGGCCACAGAGGGGAGATGCATGTTGCCACAAAAACATGGCAACATTCACAGATGGTCATGGAATTTTTGTGGAGGTAACCATTTGTCTCCCACAGCGCACAAGAATTTACTTCTAAGGTTCTGTGGAAAATTTTCAGAAGTCTAAAAACTTGACCTGTGCCATTCAAGTTATTTTATTTATTCATTTAATTTATTTGCCACCTATCTCCTACTGAAATACAGTAGTGGCCAAAATTGTGGAAACCTTTTGGGAAAAATGTATTTTTGAGGTTTGATCGCTGATAACACCACCTTTTTTTGCAGTAGTACCATAAAATTATATATCAATGGAAAGATATAATTTAAAGCCCAGTTTAATCTTTTCAACCTTTGTTTGAGAGATAAAAGTGGCTTTTTTCATGGAATTCTAGATTTTAGGACAAATTCCTACAGTCTGCACCAAACAGTCCTTGCATTCAACTTCACATTGCATTGTGCTATTTCTTTTTTTTAAAAAAAAATTATAAGCCTTTATCACTGTGGCTTTGTAGTGATTGAGTCTCCTTATACCTCTTCAAAAACTTAGAAATATCACCTTTGGTTAAGTTTCCACCAATATTTTTTCTAATTTCTTTATAGCTGTAGCCTTGTTCACTTAATAATACTATTTTACATCACTTTCTGGGTGATCAGTCAACTCTTTGCACCATTACTTTAATTTTATTACATTTTACAAGCTCACCAAATGAAAGAACACAAAAAAACCAACCAACTTGATAGCGATCACATAACACGCTGTCAAATTTCCTCCTCTCAGCTTGAATACATGACATCAATAACTGGATCCTACTGTGAGCTGATTGGTTCATTACCAAAACAAGATGACACCTGATTGGCTCTCTAAACACTCATGCTCATTGGCTACAATCAGATGAAGGAAAACTACCTGATCTCAACCTAAGCAAGTTGTTCTTCCTTTTTCTGGTTATTTGGCTGTAACGTTTCATAGAATACAGATAATTGAACAAACTTTGTTACATTACATTCTTGATTAAATTATCTTTCCATTGCTATATAATTTTATGGTACTGCTCCAAAATAAAGTGGTGTTATTAGTCATCAAACCTCAACAATTTTCCCAAAAGGTTTCCACAATTTTGGCTACTACTGTAACTCAAGTTATCCACATGAACCTTATGGAAGCTATTCTGCTTAGAAAAGTTATGACACCACATTCTATTGATTTCCTCCTATCATGGAGCCAGCACAGACATCTGAGTTTGTAACCCTATTCCAATGAGATTTCTGAGTTATCAGAGATTGTAATATAAGGCTGTAATCCAAATAATTGTTACTTGTAAGTTGCTTCCATCATAATTAACCTGTTAAATATTATCAGAAAGCAACTTGGTTAAATTCTTTGTAATCATTGAAATTCTTTGACTTTGAAGAAAAGGCAATGCTCTTTGAATTAGCTTTGAAAAATGTAGCTTTTTTCCCCTTCCCCATCACTTTGCCCCCTAGCCTGTCATTAAAGCCATGAGAAATCACAAAAATAAACAGTCAAATTCCATTCAGTTGGGAGTACAACTTGTGTAAGCAGCATGTGAAAGTTCTGTTTACAGAAGTTCATTAGGTCAAGGATCCCAGTTTTTAAACCCAAAACAAATTACCTCCCAACTTTTATAAACAAATTGCGTGTAGCACATTAATCAGCAAATCAACAGGTCCTCAAGGGTTTTGAGTTAATTCAATCATCAAGACACTTTAGCCAAGGGAGAGGGAAAAAAATACTGAATAAAATATTATGCTTTCCAATTGCTTTAACAGAGAAAATGCAAACATTGCCTCAGTGTACTATAGTCATTATACAGCTGCCCCTGGGAAAGAATCCTGATTGTGAACAATAACAAAATAGAACAGGAGACCGTTGACTGACAAAGAACAAGGGGATAAAAATAAATCATGTCCTACCTGGAAGACATTCTTTTTGCTAGATTTTTCCTTGGTCCACTCAATCTGAGCTCCACACAAGTCCAGCCATTCAGATTTGGGGCTTTTCTATCAATGAAGAATATTGAGAATGAATTGACTATTGACTTCCAAAGACCTTGGTGAATTAACTGATTAAATTCAGCTGTTCTCCATATTGGATGTCCCTCTCCAAATTCTTATGAAACCATTCTTAATATATTGCCCAACTCATAGGTGGCTTATACAAAGTCCTCCAAAATATTACTTAGTAGCTCCTAGGAAATGGCAACATCTACACCAGCTTTATTATGACCAACCCCCCCATAAATAATGTAGTTTTATATTAGGGGGAAAAACATAAACTTCATTTTATAAAACTCAAGCAAACACAGTTTGGGGTAATCTTTGCAAGTTTTGTTTAGCTAAGCCTTTTTCTCTGTTCTGAATGCCTCTTTCTCTGTCAATGTTTGTACAACTGAATGTCTTGCTTGTGGAGGGAAAAAGTATCTACCATGTCATGATCATGTGTTAAGCTTGTTGTAACTCAGCCAAACCTAAAGCCTCTGAGTACAAGCAGTCATCTTAACTACAGGCTTCCTCCCAAAGGCACCTTCCCATAGCTCTTAACTCTGTGTTTCTCACCCTGCTGGAATTAATTGAGCCAGATGTAAGTAATAACATTTCCAAGTCCTACACACTTACCAATCAGGCTATTTGCTTTCAGAGTAAGCAGTATTAGGAACAGCACAAAGCAAAAGTAAGAAATAATAAGCTAAAGAAATTAAAGGCAGGAAATAAGAGAAAAAGGAAAGAAAATACAGTTAAATCTACTTTGCCCCAATACTATTCAGTATAATTCTCCATGGTGTTGTTTTGTTTTTTGAAAAAAACATTTGTCTTCCACTTCTAGTTTGTCTTAAACTTCTCATCATTCTCTTCTTGAAGATTTTAAGAACCCTATTCAACCATAATTTCCTAACTCTCTCTCATTCAACCTATTCACTCTTCCTATAGTTACTTTGTCATTTGTATCTGACCCATTGCCATTTGATCCTACACACCTCCCCAACCAACACTTCCAACTACCCAACAAGCATTCTTTAGACACTTATCTATTTATTTTATTTACCTAAAGCAACTGTGGGGATATCAGCCTTTGTCCTTGGTAAATGTCGAGCTATTCACTAGGCATTCCAGTGGTTTTCATGCATCATGTATTGCTTTAATCCTATTCAGCAGCAATTTTCAACTCCATATTTATACATACTGCTCCATAATCCAAACCTTTTCTTTCAATTAAGAAACATACAGTACCTTTCTCACATTAATATATCTATCAATGCCCTGATAAAGAAAAAAAAACTGGTCTGTATTCTCATCCCCAAACCTCTTTGCATGGCATAAAAGCACAATGTATTTCTCATATTTTAATCAGTCAACTCTTCTACCTTTTTCATCAGAATTATGTCAAATACCTTCCCAGGTCCATTTAATTAATCCTCTGGCATGCCAGAGCACTGGAATCCAAAAGAGCAGCTGGCCAGTGCACATGCGCGATGGAACCCAGAAGAGCAGCTGGCAATGGCACACATGCCCACAAAGAGGGCTGTGCATGCCACATCTGGCATGCATGTCATAGGTGTGCCATCACAGCCCTATACCATTCCAGACAAATAAATGTCCAGTCTTTTTAAAAAAAACTTCCAGTGATGCAGCACTCAGAACTACAGAAGGCAAGCTGTTCCATTGGTTCATTGTTCTCACTATTGGCTCTCATACACACACACACACTGCTGGCTCTTATTCATTTTTAGCTCTTATTCATTTGTAGCAGCTATTAGTCCAAGATTTTCACCTGACTGTTTTTCTGCTCAAGGCAGGATTCATACTCACAATCTCCTAGTTTCTAGTCTTGTATTTTAACCACCATATGAAACTGGCTCCCCCAGTTAGGGCAACAACTGTCTTTTCTCCCAGACATTGGGATAGCAAGAGGATTGTGTAGATGAATGCACAGAGATGACAGAATAGCTGTGTTTTCTTGGAGGGCTGGGTTTTGGAGTGGGGTATTGATGTGACCTTCCCAGAGTTCTGTTTTACAAGACTAGAAACTAGGNAAAAAAATAAAAAATAAAATCTTAAATAAGGGAATCTAGTTCATTCTGTTTCTACACAGCATATAATTCTTAATTTATGTAGGTATGTTTATGCTATAGACATGTACATACAATACTTTCCCTTTGGTGAAATTCAGATCTTACATTAGAGATATGCGCAACTGGGAACTTGTTGAAACTTCCAACTCTTTTCTTCATCTGATTTGCCTAACTATAGCTTGGAACAAAGTCTAACCTGAGAAACTTGTCATGAGATAAGATGATTTATAAGACCTATTTTAAAGACAAATTTAATCACTTCTGATCAGCCCTCAGAGTTCAAACCATTACAGCAGCCTTATGATCATGTGATCATGATTTCCAACTTTCCCTGGCTTCCCACAAGCAAAGTTAATAGGGACGCTAGCAAGAAGTCAGAAACTATGGCCATAGGAAGTTAATTAATAACTCCCACAATTCTCGCTTAATGACAGCAACCAGGATTGCCAGAACTGCTGTTTCTACATAGGGCATGTGAACAACACCACATCACTCAGCAACAGCAATTCCTGTCCCAATTGCTATAATTAACCAAGAACTATTTGTATGTGTAAATGAATAAAGTAATCTTTTTTTATGGTTGCTTACTGATTGCAACTGTACCTTAGTGTGTGGTGCAAATTCAATTGCATGGTTTGTTTATAAACCACAAGGTCAGATAAGTCAACAAATATGGTTAGACTTGAACCGTTCTGTTTTTTAAAGCTCAGGCCTACTACAAAATTACATCTCATTAAATCCTGACAATCAGATGAAGCATCAGTAGCTAGCTTGCTTTTCTTCTGTTACTATTATCTGATTGCTAAATCAAATTATTCTGCCCACTCCCCTATGATAAAGGAATAAAGATGGGCAATCGTTTGGCTTAGAAGTTTTGCTACCTCAAGTTATATGAACATGAATTTTAAAAATGATGGGTCAAAGGCTGGTCTCAATGATCTACTGTATTTTCACAACCAAAAGCCGCACCGGATTATAAGCCGCAGTATCAATTAACGTTAATTTTTCAAACTTTTTCCACATATAAAGCGCACCGGGT